TGACGACCACGGCGTTTATGGTAAAACGACTACAGGATGTGGGACGCATCCGTGTTACGCGTTGATTGCTAACACAGGGGCAGGTGTGACGCACCTTACGCGGATGTTAACGATCACAGGTGTGACGCTGGCTGCTTTGATTGTTAACACACAGGTGTGACGCAGTTGCGCTCGTTATGTAAGCACACAGGTATAGACGCGCGTTAGTGTAACACACAGGGTGTGGTTACGCAACACTTCGTGTGATGTCTTAACACATCTTAGCGTTGTGAGGCGATCGCGCTGGTTATGTAACACCGACGGTTTGTGATCGGCACCGCGCGTAGTGTAGACCACATTGGTTTCGAGGTGTGACGCGACCGGCCCGGCGGTTATTTTGTAACCACAGCGGTGAGAGTCGCCCAACGCGTTATGTTGAATATGCACAGTGTGTATTGACGCACTCTCTGCGTCTTTGGTATGGGTAGACACTACTTAGGGTGTTGGACGCACACGCAGGTTAGGGTTATAATACGCTTAGGCTTGGGTGTGACGCTGTTGTTTGTGAAGCGACACAGGCGGGGTGTGGGATCTTTGGTTGTTGTTGTTGGTGTGGTTAATGGAGCGACCGCTGTCGTTTTATGCTAACACACAAAGGGGGGGTTATGACGCGCACGTGTATGTATATCTTACACCTATTTGCGTTTAGTTAGGTGTTGTGACGCAGCATACAGCGGGTTAATGTAAGGCAGCACAGGTGTAGCGCTACTGCGGTTTATTGTAGAAGCAACAGGTTGTTTGACGCACAACGCCGTTATGTAACACAAGGTGCTGACGCCTCGTTATGTTAACACACAGGGTGTGACGCACCGCTCGTTATGTAAACACACAGGGGGTTTGTGACGCCACCGGTGGTTTAGTTGTAACTCAGCGAGGTGTTGACGACCACAACGCGTGTATGTACCTTCAGGTGTGATATTTCGCATCTCTTGCGTTATTTGTAACACACAGGTGTTTTTGTGCGCGCGTTTTTATGTTAACCACTTCACTTAGCGTTGTGATTTTCGCACCGCGCTTTAGTGTTATACACAGTTTGTACGTCCATCCGCGGCGTTTTGTAACACATTTCAGTTTGTGACGTCAAGGGTGGCGCGCGTTATGTAACGACGACAGGTGTGTACGCAGGCCGCTTGTTATTCTTTATTACACCAGTTTGCTGTGCGCGCGTTGATTAACACAACAGTGTGTGACTGCACGCGCGCGTTATAGTGTTTACACAGTGTGTGACGCACCCATCTGTTACTGTAATCACACTCAGGTGTGAATCGCATTGCGGCTCGGTTATGTGACGAGGCTAGTGTGGTTGAGGTGTGACGTACGTGGTTTTTAATGCGGGTTGGGGATGTTGTACACACGAGTTGTTGATTCGCCTCGGTGTATTAGTGTAACTACATCTATGTTGTGGATTTCACATGGCGTCGTTATGTAACACACAGAGTGTGTACGCAGCGCGCGTTGAGTGTAACACATGCAGGTGTGACGCGACTGCGCCTGTAATTAGTGGGGTAACACACTATGGTTTGTGGACGCCACTACGTTTTGATGTATGTAACTTACACAGCGGTGGGTGATGTGACGCCATCTCCGTCGTTTGGCTGTGTCTTATTGTTTAAGCACACAGAGTTTTATTTTTGACGTAGCTCGATCTCACTGCGGTTAGTTTGTTAAGTTCTCACAGGTTTGTGACTTGTTCTCGTTATGTCGTTGAATGAGCTGAGTGTGGTTTGTTAGTTCTGTCGATTCCGTTCTGCTTTTGTTGTATAGTGAGTCTACTAGTCGGTGTGTATACTTTGCTGTGTGGATGTGTAACTACGATCGTGTGTGGCTGAAGGTGGCGCAGGCTCCTGGTCGCTTTTATGTAGACATTGATCTGTATAGTGTGTTATATGCTGTGTGTTATGATTCTTTGTTTCGCGCTTTATGTTATGTAATCACTACTCAGTGTATTTTGTTGTTGTTTGATCGGTCATGTTCTGCTTTTATACTTTGTGAGACACGTTATCTAGGTGTGATGTTGTTGTCTGTTGTGTGTGTGTTGTTGTTTTGTTGTTCTGCTTGTGTGTGTGTGTATTGTTGTTTGTTATTGTGTTTTGTGGTTGCTGTGCTTGTTTGTGTGTTTTGTTGTGGTGGGTGGGGTGGTGGTTGGGGTGGGGTGGGTGGGGGGGGTGGTGTGATCCAGTGCCGCTCTTCGGTTTATGCTAACACACGGTGTGGACGCGCAGTGTATGTACCACACAGGTGGTGGACCGCCGTTGTCGTTTTATGTAACAATCACCATGGGGTGGTGCACGCGCGTGTTATGTAACACACAGCGTGTGACTGCGCCTGCTCGTTATTGTACACCCACAGGTGTGCCGCCCATGTCGCGCGTTATGTAAAACAGGCAGTGGTGTGACGTTTCACGCGGCTCGTTATCTAACACACTAGGTGTTGTTGAGCGTTGGTTTCATGTATCGAGGCACTGCTGGGTGTTTTACGCACCGCGTCCGGTGGTATTTAGCACACATAGGCTGTGGAACGCAGCCGGCGCGCTTATGTAGGACATCAGGTGTGACCGCACGCGCGTTTATGTGAACAGCGACTGATAGGCTGTGACGGCCACCGCTCGTTATGGTAAACATACAGCGGTGTGACGCGACCGGGCGGGCGTAGTGTAAAACACGAGCATGGTGTGACGCAGCGCGCGGTTATATGTAGGACACACAGGTTGTGACGCGAGCGCGGCGTTATTGTATAAGCATAGTGCTGTGGGCGCTTCACCGGGCCTCTTGGTTGGTGTAAACATGACAGGGGTGTGCGTACGCGCATTGATGTGTTTAACAGGGCACAGTTGAGGTGGTGTTGTGCTGAGGGCGCGCAGTGTTAAATGTAAACACACAGGGGTGGGTGACGTGTCTCGCGTTATGTAACACACAGGTGGTGACGGCATGGCAGCGCGTTATATGGTACAGCAGCACAGGTGTTGACGCACGCATCGTTATGTAACACACAGGTGTGAGTGCGCGTCGGAGATTATGCTAACACACAAGGTGTGATTCGCACTCTACTGGCGGTTATGTAAACACATTCAGTGTGAACGCGGCGTTATGTAACACCACAGGTGTGGACGCAACCGGGCGCGATTATGTACACACAGGTGTGAACGCCACCGTCTCGTTATGCTTAACACACAGGGTGTGACGCACCGCGTCGCTTATGTAACCACACAGTCGGTGACGCACCGCCCTCTTTATGTAACACACAGTTGTGACGCCACCGCGCGGTTAGTAACCACAGGTGTGAGCCACCGCTCGTGATGTAACACACAGGTGATTGTTGAGTTCGCAGGCCCGCGCGTGTTTGTTAGGACACAACAGGGGGGTGGGTGAGCGCACCGCGCTGTTATGGTAACACACGAGGGGTGTGACGCGAGTCGTTTAGTGTAGACACACTAGGTGATTTGACGCACCGCGCGGTTATGTAGACAAGGTTCAGGTGCGTGTGACGCAGCCGACGCGTGTATGTAACCAACAGGTATGACGCCACGCGCGATTAGTGTACACACAAGGTGTGGGACGCGAGGCCGCGGGCGTTGGGATGTAACACGACAGGTGTGACGCAACGCGCGTTAGGGTGTTAACACTACAGCGTGTGACGCCATCGCGGGCGTTAATGCTAACACACAGGATGCTTTGACGGCACGCCGCGTCGATGTGATGTAAAACACGACAGGTGTGACGCAAGCGCGCGCGTTACTGCTAAACACAAGGGTGTGACGCAGCCAGCTCCAGTTACTGTACACACAGGTGGTTAGACGACGCATGTATGTACACACACAGGATGTGACGCACACCGCAGTTATGTGAGCAACATGGTGTGGACGCACGCGCCTGGCGTTATGTACACACAGGTGTGACGCACCGCGCGTTAATGCTAACACAGCAGAGTGTGACGCGTCACCGCGCGATGTATGTAACCACACAAGGTGCTGACGCACCGCTCGTACTGTAACACAGGGTGTGAACGCACGCGCGTTATGTAACGACAAGTGCTGACGCACCGCGCGTTATGTGAACACACAGGATAATGACGCATCCGCGCGTTTATTGTAACGACACACAAGTCGTGTGACGCACCGCGCGTTATGTAAACAGCACTTAGGTGATGATCGCCCACCGCGCGTTATGTAAAAACATGCGTGTGACGCAGGCGCGCGTTTATTATATGCTTAACATCGATGTATGGTGTGACGCAGCGCTCGTTATGTAAACACAGGGTGACGACGCCGTTAGGTGTAACATCAACAGGTGTGACGCACCTCTCGGCTGCGGGATTCATGTAAACCAGGTGTGACGCGCATTTTATGTAACACCACATGCGGTGCTGACGCACCATCGTCGTTATGTAACACACAGCGTGTGACGCGCGCTTATGTAACCAGCAGGTGTGGTCGCACGCGCGTTATGGTTAACACACAGGTGTGAGCGCATCGCTCGCTTAGTGTAACACACTAGGTGTGAGGCGGCAGCCTGGGCGCGTTATGTAACACACAGGCTGTGACGCACGCCTCGTTTATTGTTACACACAGGGGGGTGTGACGCCCACGGCGCGTGTAGTGGTAGACACACAGCGGCGGAGTTGACGCACCGGGCCTCGTGTGGATGTACACACACAAGTGTGTGAACGCGGACCGCCGCGTTATGCTAACACACAAGTGTGACGCACCTGCGCGCTTATGCAACACACAGGTGTGCAGCACCGCGCGTTATGTAACACACAGGTGTGACGCGCGTTATGTAACACACAGGTGTGACGCACCGCGCGTTATGTAACACACAGGTGTGACGCGCGTTATGTAACACACAGGTGTGACGCACCGCTCGTTATGTAACACACGGTGTTGCCACATGGCATACACACTCGCAACGCCAACGCGTTGAGCGTGAGCGGCGAGTGGAGGCGACGCGAGGCAGACCACTTACCACTCATGAAGTTGTAAATGAGGGGATTGAGTGACGAGTTGAAGTAGCAGAGCCAGTGCGAGACGAGAATGAATGCGACCAGGGCAGGATGGTTCTTCAAGTATTCCAGCACTCCGGTTTGTCTGCGAAATACGTGCAAAAAGACACGGTGATGCATTCGCCATCTTTTTTTTTAGCGCTGATGGTTAGTAATGTCATCGCTGCTGACGTCATTGCTAGCGCTGCTTAGTCATTAGTAAAATAATGGCGAGTGTTTAAGCTAGGTAGTGCGCTGCAGCTGCCGCTGCAGAATGCATTTAGCCGTATCCCATGAGATTGAACGCAAAAATGTGCCCAGTAATGCAATCGAATCAGTTATATATATATATATATATATATATATATATATATATATATATATATATATATATATATATATATATA